TTCAAACTAGAAGGCAAAAAAGGGGAAGTTGAAAAGACTTTCACTGTTCAGTATCTGGCATTTCTGAGACTCAGGTCCAATCCTTCTATTTCTATACAACACTCAATGAAGTACTTCAGAGATAATGACACCTCCAATTCTCTAAATTCTTGACAGCAATATATGATCACTGAATCATAACTGGCCACTGACTTTCATAACTGGTGATTATTTCAGAGTTTTATTTTTTTAATTGCTGGTAGTTTTTAAAGACCATGTTTATTTAGAATATGTCAGATATTTTCTCTGAAAGAACTATTAGTAGTTTTTCTTGAACTTTTCTGAAGCTGAAAAAAAGGAACACATCAAGTCCCATTTATTTAAAAGGAAAAACAAATAATAAAGCTCAAGAAAACGTTTGCATGAAGCTCTAGGTAGTAGTTATAAAACAAAAATAGCTATTACTGTGCTAATTGACTCTAATTTTAATGAGCTGAAATGCATATCAAAAGCTTTAAGAAGACAAAAAGCAAAAAGTGGTTCTAAATAAAACAATAACAAAAATGCTTTCCTGACAGTACCCTAGAAATGATGTCAATTTTCAAACCTAAAAGACACTAGAGCAGAAGGAGATTGTACAAAATGGTCTTTTTCAATAATCAGAGAACACTTTACTAACAAAGATAAAAGGGTGAGGGGATGGGTTAAATATAGGATGGGGATTAAGGAGTAACTAGGTGTTTTCTGGAATCACTAAATTGTACACCTGAAGCCAATATTATACAATGTTATTAACTGAAATTTAAATAAAAACTTTGGAAAAATCAACTTATCAATAATTATAAGAGGAAAACACCACATGAAAAAAAATAAATAAATCAGCAATTTCATAAGGATTGTCCTTCATTTCTCCCAGAGGGGGAAAAAATGTAATTTCCAAATCATTCTGCATGCTTTAAATCATAAATCTGCAGATAAAATCATAAATGTATGACTAATTTATTATTTTAAATTAACATTAAATATTTTCAATAGACAATCACGCATATGTAAGTGAAGAAGCTACTTTGAACATGTGGAACGATACAGACTTATCTTTTCCTTATCCTTGCACTGATAAACTGGCTCCTTCAAACTGACAATTTTCCAGACATTCAAAAGAACAAAAAGGAAAATGCAAATACATCATCTGTCTAGGATCCATCCAGGGAATAGCCAACTGTTTATTCAAGGTCCCTAAGGGTCTAAATAAATAATGTCCTTTACAATAACATATCATTAAAACAAATGCCAATATTTAAACCCTAAACACTGTATTTTTTAATTTCCCTCCCTCTTCCTTTCTCCTCCTCTCTCTCTCCTCATCCATTCTGGGCCAGTTGCAGGAGGGACAGTCTATATGTCCAGTGGAAACTCTTTATTAAATAATAGAAATTTGTATTGATTAGTAAATATAAGCCTCTTGGGTCAAATTTCATATAAAGCAAAGAATCAAATACTTCTACATTAAAAAAAACATGCCAATTAATAATGTGCATGGCTGGTAACAGCCATAATAAACAGAACAGAGCCTAATATTCTAATGAGGTGTAGAATTATTATACTTTGCAAACTAGTAAACATGCAGCATATAAATTACTGAAAACCAGTCTATTTAGTTCCTTTACTGGGTTAGCTTCACTTTTGTTTTGTTCATTTATGCTTTGCATCATGGAAGGATAAATACCTTAGCATATCTGAAAAAAGAGTAATGGCATGTTACCACATAATGTACTGTGGGCAATTAAACCTGTACTGATAAGTAAATTTAAATTTTCCCTATTTTGATAGATTTACTGAAACTGTTTTCTCTTTTAGCTTTCTTTGAAAATATGCATACACAAAAAAAAGAAAGAAAATATGCATACACAAGGGGTATACCTTGTTCTCTGATGAATATCTTTTACCAGTTATTAAGAGTGATTTTCCATTGTTGTTAATAGACTATACTTTTTTGCTAATAAAATACTACAGAAGCTAAGGAATATTATTCAAGCTAGAATCTGACATTTGTGTGATAAAATTTCATAGTTTTAATAATGTACACTATTTAAAATGTAAATGTACACACCTAAAAAATTTTTTTGCAAAATTATAGATTTGGGTGATTTTTTAAGTATAGGTGACACAATGCTACATTAGTTTCAGGTATACAACACAGTGATTCCACAATTCTATACATTACACTATGCTTACCACAAGTGTAATTACCACCTGTCACCACACAATGCTATTATAATATCAATGACTATGTATTTCCTATGGTATATGATTTATTCATTCCGTAACTGGAAGCCTGTATCTCCCACTCCCCTTCACCCATTTCACCCATTCCCCCCACCCTTCTCCTCTAACAATCGCCAGTTTGTTCTCTGTATTTATGGGTCTGTTTCCGCTTTTTTGTTTTTGTTTTGTTTTTTAGTTGATGATGATAATATGGCAGAAGAATCTTTGACTTCACATTAAGCTGGCAAGCTCTAATTCTTTTTCTGGGATCCAAGTGTATCTAATCCTAGTTTCTCTTTAATTGTGCCACATGTAAATTTAAGAAATCCCATTCTGATACCAAAATTTCAAAATAGTTTAAATGTTTCTGCTATAAAAGTCCTGTTTTATGTTTTATATTTACATGGTTTCTTCCAAGGAAAGTCCCCCCCTTTTTTTTTTGCTATTGTACTATGTACTTTCAAGTGTATTTTTTACTAACCAATAATCTATTAATGAATTTGAGCAATTCATTTTTTGTTGCTGACTCACTATAAAACTTAGAACTGAAGTCATCCCAAGGCACAAAGGTTTAAGATCCACAGGGACATATATTTATTGTATCTTCATACAAAGAAATACAAGATCAAACTAAGACTAATACATAACTTACCCAGATCTACAAGAATAAATTGCCCAGCTCAGCATGCAATTACAACTATCAATTCATCCACAAATCATTTTTTCCAAATAATGCTTGAACCAGGAGGAGGAAAATAAATACATATCGCCTATTTTTTTTTAATGGCAAATAACTTAAATCAAGAGATCTACTAAAAAGAACACAAAAATCTCTCAGTTAAAAATACTGACAGCAAAGAGATAAATATTTGTGTGGTCTGGATTCCAAGTGAAAAAAGAACAGGGTACATGGGCTGGTGGCAGTAAACAAAAGTATGTAAAGTGAGACCGTAAGAGAGTAAGAAGTACAGTGACTGAAAACACTACACTGAGTTAGATTTCCCTTATCAAGGTAGTAATGTTCATGTCAGCAATTAAGAGAATGGAATAGAAATACCAATCTAAACTGGAGACACCAAATAACAATGACAAGAAGAGCACAGTGAAAGAGGAAAGGAACAGTCAGATATGAAAAACAGATGATGAAAACAAAGACCATCAACACAAAGATTTGGAATGACCTGGAGAGGAATTTTTTTTTTTAATACAGGGGTTTTAAGAAGAAAAAGGAAAGAACTAACAATTATAGCACAAAATGGGAAAACCTGGGAACTATATGAGAAACATCACCACTGAAAATTATACAAGATTTAAATAATGGGGGAAAAGAGTACATTATGAGCTGGATATAGGGTTTTGTGGGGGTTTGCCAAAATTATAGTCTTCAAAATAGCAAATTATTTTGTAATTCTGGATATGGCTCTTCAGGGTGAGTTTCTATTATAATGGATTTACTGGAAAAATTACAATGTTTCAGAAATAAATTTATCATACTGTTTTATATCCAATACTGCCCATTTATCTCAGCTGTCTCTTATCTCTTCTAAAGACTGCATGATTTAAATTTTGAAAATTATATTTAAGACAAATCACATGATCTTACTTACTTTGTCCCATAAACTGAAGTAAAAGAGCAATGTATTCAAAATAAGATGAAAATATTTTACTCAGTGTACAGTGAACCTCTAAAACTTAAAACATTTGCTCAGGGAAGTTACTAGAAATTCACTATAACTGAGTTGAAAAGATGGCATACAGTTTCATAGATATTAGTGACTTCTGCCTTTTTCCCAACTGAGGCAGATCTAGAAAAATCACAGTTGATTTTTTTAAGGGTTTTGGATGGGGGTGAAAGAACAGAAATTAGCATCCAACCCAACATAGATTACCAAATTGTTTCTCTTCCCAAGAAAAACAAAAGCATCAGAGTATAATGGAGCAACAGGAAAACAAAAATCTGGTAGAGTTCTACTTATTTTCTTTCATATTTTTTCACTAAAACAATGAAGAAATATTCTAACAATGTACCACACTACTGCAAGATGTCAAAAACAGGGAATAAGGAGGGAATGGCATTGAGGTGGTATATGGAACTCTGTACTTAACCACTCAATTTTTATGTAACCTAAAACTAATCTAAAAAATAAGGTCTAAATGTTGTTGTTGTTGTTGTTGTCGTTGTTGTTGTTGTTTTTAATTTTTAGTAAAACAAAAGATAAGGCAGGACAAAATTCGGTACCACTACTGCAGATTTTAGTTCCAGGTGGAAAATTCTTATCAATAACTATTTTTTTCCTAAGTATAAACATAATACAGAAATACTGATAATATTCTGAAAAAGATACTAACATTAAACTGAAAACATCAAAATTGCCAGTAGTTCAACTACATGGAAATAATCTAGTAGTTTCAGCATACATTGCCTAGCTTTTTTTTCACATATAAAAGATATATACTTCACATAGCTACGATTACATGGTATATAAAGTATTGCACATATTTTTTTACTTAACCAACTGTGAACATTTCCTCTTATCACTAAACATTAAGAAAAATTATTATGTTTAAGTGGAGAAAATATTGAAATACTTGATGTAATTTATTTGATACTACTCAAATTTACTTAGAAAATTATAAAACAATCAACAGTATAACATGAAAGCATAATGATTTACAACATGCCTAACCAAATATCTTAACTTTGCAAAAATGGAATCTAAAAACTTATTTGTTCAAATCACTAATAACTAACTCACCAGGTGATTCTCCTCCTACATCTGAAGCTTGGGGTGAATCTACTGAAGAAACCACACTGACTGCATTGGTAGGGAGACTCGTATTAAGTACAGAAGGTAAGACTGATGATTTTTTTGTTGCAATGATGACACTTCTGTAATAAAGTAAATAGAATTTAAAATACGAAACATCACTCAAGTTAATTACATTAATTTCAAAATAGAAAACAAACTTCTTTTTTTAACTTATTGATTTATATTTTGATGTACAATTTAGAATATTCTCTCAGAAAGAAATCTCTCCAATTTTGGCATATTTATTTGCATTTCAATTTTTTAGAATGAAGACAATATTCTATGGAAATACAATAATCCATTACATTTATAGAACTTACAATTACTATACAATATTCTTTAAATTTATGATCATCTTTAATTACCCAACTTAAATAAAAAATAACCACAGGTATATAAAAAAGGAATTTTGGCACTCAAGTGGAAAAGTAATTAACTTTTTCTTAACCTCAGAATTGAAGCAGAAAACTCAACATGTTTCTACATGGATTTTAAAGCACCACTAATTTGAAATCATAAAACCTTAGAAATCTTAAAGGTAAAAAAAATGCAGATATAATTTTTAAAACCTACATAATCAAGTTTCTCTTTTTAACCCCCAAAGACTATCTTTTCACAATATTATATGGAAAAAAAACAATGCATAGGTATAAAAGCTAGATGCAAAAAATTCCAAATAATCAAATTCATTTTGTCTATTATTCAAACACAGGTATTTATATACACCAATTTCAATTAAAGTGTAATACTTTATACCCAAATAGTAACTAAAAGACCTTATTAGGCATAACTAAAAGGCATTTTTAATTGAAGTTAGCTCCATAAACATGCAAAAACCCAGTTAATGAGGTAAAGAGGACAGCTGATATATAATGCACTCCCACAGCAGTGCTTACTTTTAATTACCTGGTGTTAACCATAAGCCTAAAGTCTTCAACATTCAATTTATTTAATCACATCTTTTGTTGACAATATTGTAACTGCAAGCTTCAAGTATTCCCTTAACAGCTTTAAAGTATTCAGTTTCTAAATAAAGTTACTTAGATACTTGATCCCAATAAATGTATTCAAAAGTGGAAATTATGTAATTCCAGTAACTCAAAAATACATTTTGTTTTTGTTGTTATACCAAAGAGAGATAATGCAACGCGAAATAGGTTCTGTTTTACTTCAATGCCTATCATGTGATGGCAAACAGTGTTGCCAATTAAATCAAGTTCTCTTGTGTTAGGCATGGTTTATTCAATGTACTTGGGGGTAGCCGGTGTCACATCATTATAAGGGTGACTGCCAATGTTAACTATACACTAAAAAATAGAAGCAACAGCCACCTGAGCCCTCAATCCAAAATGGTGTGCTTAAATCATAGTAGCTTATATCAGATGAAGACTATTGACTTTAGGGGGAGTAGATATGACCGTGTGTGTGTGTGTGCACACACGGGGAACACTCAAAACAATACAAAAATAATTTATATATTTCCTACTCGAGGCAGAAATTCATAAACCTATTGTTTAAGAAAATCTCTAGCTGCATTCCCTAGCAACCTATTTTGGAGTGAGGGGTACTATACAGAATTTACTTTCACATTTCTTCCCAAAAGAAAGAACTGGCAAGACCTAGATCACTCATATATGTAAGCACTGAAATGAGCAACAGAAAATAGTATTGAGAAAGCTGAAATTGTTTTTTCCATAACTGAAATTTAAGACATAATAAAACTACCCTTTGTACCAGCAATTCCACTCTTAGGAATTTCCTCAAGATAACTTTATGCCCACAAAAAATGTGTACAATAATGTTTAAGAGGCCTTATTTAATAGCCAAAAACCAGAAACAGCTCAGAATTCTTTCAAAAGAAAAATGAGTAAGTGATAAGCTTATATACGAAAAGATCCTCAGCAATTAAAAGAAACTACTAATAAATGTAACATAGGTGAATCTCAAAAGCATTATGGTGAGTGAAGAAAGCCTCATACATAACACAGATTTTGTATTTCCTTTCACATGAAGTTCTAGAAAAGGCAAAACTAATCTATGGTAGGAAGGAATCAGAAGAGTAACTGCATCTAGGGGATGGGGACCGTCATTGGCTGGGAATGTGCAAGAAGGAACTTCCAAGACTGATAATGTCTTGATTGAGGACTTGGGTCACACAGGTGTACAAATCTGTCAAAATTCATCAAATGATACACATTAAGATCTGTGCCTTCCAATGCATGTACATTTTACCTTAAAAAACTGTACTGATCTCTAGTTTAAGATCTGCATGGTTAAATGTTTATGAAGTGAACTGATGTCTGCTGGAATGTATATAGGGAGAATTACATGATGAAGTAAATAGAGTGATGGAGTCTCTGGATGTTCACTGTACAATTCTTCTGTATATTTGAACATTTTCGCAATAAAATGTTGTAAAACTAGTAACAGAAAAAAATCTACTACAGATGTTCGTTCCTTAGTATGTACAATCTCTGTCCAAGAGGCATGGTTAGTTAAAGGTAACAAAAAACTTGATCTCATTTTTTTTTTTTTTAAAGTAGGCTTCACCCCCAGCGTGGAGCCCAGCACAGGGCTTGAACTCACAACCCTGAGAACAAGACCTGAGCTGAGATCAAGCTGGATACTTAACCAACTGAGCCACCCAGGAACCCCTTGATCTAATTTCTAACCCTTTAACCTATTACCATTAATAATTCTTTCAATCATGTATAATACTTATTCTTTACTACAGCTCAGTAGATGTTTATTTTCCAAGATCTGTCTCATATTCTCACCCCTAATACATCTGAAGTATGGCTACCTACATGAGTTTACATTTAATCCAGCATTCCTTACAAATTTCTGCAATATGCTCTTATGATTCCTGAGCATGTATGTTATTTCACAATTCCAACCCTTTGTATATACTATTCCTCAGCCAAGCAGCCTTCCTTTTATCCCTGCTTGCTAGGAAACTTTTCCTTCTGACCTTTCAAAACCTTGTTTAAAGGTAAGCCTCCCCAGGGGTGCCAGGATGGCTTAGTCAGTTAAGCTTCCCACTTTGGCTCAAATGATCTCATGGTTCATGAATTCGAGCCCCACGTGGGGCTCTGTGCTGACAGCTCAGAGCCTGGAGCCTACTTCAGATTCTGTGTCTCCCACTCCCTCTGCTACCCCTCCCCCCATTCGTGCTTTGCTTCTCTCCCCCTCTTTCTCTCTCTCAAAAATCAATAAACATTAAAAAAAATTTTTTTTAAGGTAAGCCTCCCCAGAGTCTCCAAGTCAACATTCATAATGCACTATTCTTTGTGTTATATAAACTATATAACACTATTCTGTTATATAAATTTATAAATCATTAATAGCTATGAATTAAACCGATGATATGCCAAGAATTACTACTAAATTCTCCAAACAACCCTTACATTTTACTTCCACTTTAAAAATTAAAATAGTAAAGCTCAGACAGGTAAAATAACTTGCCAACATAAATGCCCTACAATTCCAAGTTCGCCCAAACAAGAGCTTTTATTTGAACTGTTTTCTCATATTGACCTTTTTCTTAAGTTTCATTGAGATATATGTAATTCACATATTACACAATTTAAGTGTAAAGTTAAATGGTTTTTAGTATGTTCACAGAGTTGTGCAACCATTACCACAATCATTTTAATATTTAAGCACAATTCTATAGTATAATCATCTATAAGCAATGGTAGTAAAGATTTCCAAGATATAAAATTATGCATGTATTACTACCAAAATAAAATATCTATGTGCTCACAAATGGAATAAATTTTCCTTTATTTAGCCCACTTAGTACATAAGTGGGAAATAAACTGAATCCATTTCCAAAAATTTTGATTCAAACCATTTCTGAGGAAGCAAAATAATTATGCTTCAGCTTTGGGCCACATAAAACCAAAGAAAATTCCAAGTCATAATAATTGAAAGGACAAAAAGCAGTCAGCAGACTTCAGGATATTTTCCTTTCCTTTACTATTTTCATTATCACAAAGTTTCCACCCACATTGAAGGACTAAAATCTCCAGTAGAGGTGATCTTTAAGCCCTCATATTTATCATGTATGTAAGTACAAATTTAAACTAATAAAGCATGTCCAACAGTTTAAAAATTGCAGAAATTTATATTTACCACTACTTAAGAATGATCATTAAAGGACTAAGATTTCACGTTTTTCTAAAATGCTTTGGAAAACACAAAGAAAATGCAACATGCATCTGGCACAAGTTTGAGATTCTAGGGATATGTCTGGCATTGTTCTCAGGGTGCAGTTTAAGTTTCTATTAAAGAGACTGATAGAAATCCTTGTTAATATTTAAGGAAATAACTCTAGATTTTTAGTAACTGCTATCAACTTTGACAAAAAACACTTGAAACTTTTTGGCATAAAGAATTTGTAAGACAGATATGTCTTTTAGTTTTATAAGCTATTTTTCAAAACTGTCAATTAAAATCCAAATATTAAAGTATAAGACTTTACATGTTATAATTTTCTTTACAAACTCACTAACTTTAATGAATAATTAGTATCTGTGAGGCACTGCACTAAGCATACAGAGGAATTATTTATATTTATAACAATCCATGAATTTAAGTACTACATATTATCATCCCCATTTTACAGATGAGAAAGAAGTAATTTTCCTAAAGTTAAACACACAGAAAGTGTTTACTTTTGACTTTTTTTTATATGAACAAGGGAGACCTCTGTGAAAGTTTCTTTTTATTTAGCCACAACAAAGAGCAACAATGCCTTACAGATCACTAAGGTTCAGAAGTTCCATTTCAAAACAGTAACCAGTTTCAAATATCATAAACGTTCACATAAATGCTATTTTATTTAGCATGCAAATAGTTCACTAAAGGAGAAAAGAGCATTTTAAGCCTAGCACTTTACTCCCTTAGGATCTAATTGAAAAGCCAGACAAGCCCTTGAACTTTATCAAGATAAATCCCTGGCATCCACTAATCACCACAGAGGATCTTCAAATTAGATAAGAGCAAGAATTTTGGCATGGGAATGAACACAAACACCTTGCCATCCACAAAGGCCCACAACCTGGCAGCCTTTCAGCAAGGTTCCACTCATGTAGCTGTTACTCTAAACTTTCCAGCTATTGCTTGGAAGTTGATAATTCTTAAGATATGAGGAGAGTTGTGATTTCTGACACAGCATTCCAGAGATAAATACATGATCAGAGGGATGCTTTGAAATTCCCAAAGATATTCCACTGGTCTACAGCTGCACGAAAATAGTTTTTCAAAAGGTGTCTCTTGCTGAGAAAAAGAAGGGGAAAAAACAGAGCACTGTGCTTGCCATCAGATAATATGTTAAGTGCATACTAGACATGTAAGTTCCAAATAACATCCTGAAAAACACTATCACAAAAATTCCCCCTCTGGATTCTATTTCAGTAAACCCCTTACTACGTATTACTGAGGCATGGTTTCCTAAATAAATTTATAACTCACTCACTGAAGACATACTAAAGCATAGATTTAATTCCTATACAACTTTAAAATAAATAAATGCCAACAATTTTCAAATTTGGGACATTTAAGGAAACTTTGCCTATATTAGTAAGATATATTAAATTGAAAAATCTACTTTCCCTTGAGGCACCTAGGTGACTCAGTCGGTTGAGTGTCCGACTTCAGGTCATGATCTCATGGTTCATGAGTTTGAGTCCCACATCAGGCTTACTACTGTCAGAGCAGAGCGGCTTCAGATCCTTTGTCCCCCTCTCTACCCCTCCCCCACTTGCATGCACGTGCACCCTCTCTCTCTCTCAAAAATAAATTATTTTTAAAAATCTACCCGCAAGTATTTGACTACTCAATCTAAGAGTAATACAAATTTAAACAAATTATAAAAATTGAGAATATTTTAAAAACTAGTTATGTACACCTCTTCCCACCCTCAAAATATAGCCATTGCTATAAACAGTTTTAAATATACTCTTTGAGGGGCGCCTGGGTGGCTCAGGTAGTTGAGCATGTCTGACTCCTGATTTGGGCTCAGGTCATGATCCCAGGGTCATGGCATCCAGCTCTGTGCTGCTTCAGATTCTCTCTCTCTTTCTCTCTGTTCCCTGCCCCAGTAGCACACACACTCTCTTGCTCGCTCACTCCCTAAAAAATAAAATTTTTAAATAAAGGAAAGAAAATATACAATAAAATATTCAAAGGGGATGGATTACTGTGTCAACTTCCTTTCAAATTACTCCGGAAAAACAAAAGTTCTTTTAACTGGCAACTTCTCTATAAGTTAGAGCTTATATCAAGATAAAATACTGATCTTTGAAAAAGACTATATTTAATAACTCAATACATACATGTCTTATAGGTAGAATTTCAGAAAGTTTAATAATATATACAAAAAAATTTCAGGCATATTAGCAAAAGGTTCACTAGGCAGCAGAACCTAAAGTCAGGAATGTACAGTCTGCTTTCTAAAGCTGTCAAGCTCTGAACACCTTGCTGAATTCCTGAGTCTGTTGAAATCCACAGATTCAGACTTCTTTTCACAAAGGCTGGCACAGTACTGCCAGCAAAAGAGTGAAAGGTAGCCATGTGTAGGTAAAGGCAAATTCTAACTTATAACAAACAAAATGACTGTCCATATAATTTGCCAATGTAACATTAAGATTAAATATTATTTTTAAATCATCTTATTGGTATGATGAAAAACAAAAATGTGAATACCTTGTTGCCTACTTACAAGCCTTTTATACAACAAAAACATCCTTGTAATTTTTATAAACTAGATCAAAACACCACTTTCTAATGTTGAAGCTACAAAATTTAGCAGAGTTAAATTAAGTTCCTGTTTACCCTTTGAATTTTATACATATAAGCAGACCAAAACAAAAGACTATTTACAGTACCTATCAAAAGATCTGAACTGCACAGGTTGTTCAACAGAAAGATCACCAAGAGCTCCAAGACAGGCTGGTGGCAGAAGGGTAGGATCCACTGTGACTCCATCTGCTGGTATATTAACCAAGCTTCGAAGAATGTCCTTCACATTGACATTTTTTGAAACTGAAACCGATGGTGCAGCCTTGTTATCCGACTCATTTCCTCCATCATTTCTGGCTTCCTGAGTTTTATTGACTTCTAGAGAAAGAGTGCACAGCGCCTCACTGATTGCATCTGGGCCTGCACTGACACTTGGAGGTGCTATCAGAGGAGCTACATGCACACTGCTTCCTAAGCCAGTAGCTGTTTCTTCCCCAATGCCTGAGTCCCTCCTCCGAGCAGATGACGTGCTTTCAGATTCTTCCACCAATGCTGGGGTTGGCGGACTGAATGCTGATGGTGCGTTTTCTACATCTTACCAAGAAACAAAAGGAAAAGCATAAACAAAAAAAAAATTTAGAAGCAATTTTTAAAAGGTACATCCAGCCCTAACAGCTATCTACTACTTTATTTATTTTTTAAAGTTTTTATTTTAATTTCAGTTAGTTTCACATATAGTTATATTAGTTTCAGGTGTACAATATAGTGATTCAACACTTCCATTCATCACCCTGTGCTCATCATAACACCTATTTAACCCACCCCACCATCTAGTATTTTAAATTAGGAAATATATGGCATGTTTTAATAAAAGGCAAAAATAAATTACATAATCTATGTAATAATAGATGCATGTAATATACTGAGTATAACAACAAAATAGATGTTTCAATAAAACAATGAGAATAATAAAAGTAATAAATGATAATAAACTGAGAAAAAACTGCCAAACTGACCATGACATACCAATGGATAGCAACACAAGGCTGAAAGCCATTGGCCTAGAAGAAAAAATCCAAAATCCTTGATAAAGTATAAGACTCTTTAATAATATGAGTCTGATAGAATTTAAATTTAATAAAGGCAGGGAATTTGTCTTCTTTAACACTTCATGTCCAGTACCTATAACCATGCCTGGGCCCATAACAATGCCTGGCACGTAGTAGGTCATCAACTATTTATCAGATTACTATTAATTTACAACTTTATCTTCTGCTACTCATGCCATCACACTTTATAACATCAAATTACGTGCAATCTGCTAAACATGGGACAACATTTGGGGCTTCTGTGCCTTTATACATTGCCATTTCTCTGGACGGTAATTCCAAGATTTCTACCTCAAACACAGTTTCTACTTGCTAAAAAAAAACACATGTCATCCTTCCTATATGCAAGAATAATTCAATAATCTTTAAAATCTAGTTCAACAAGGAGCATCACCTACTCTCTGACTCATTCCCTCTAATCAGGCATTCACTGCATCCCAACAAAAATGCTCCATCTTCCTAAATCCAATGGTTACCAAAAACCTCCATCTTGATAACTCCAATGGTCAGTCCTCAGCACTTGACACAGCACCAACAAAGGATTATTCCCTCTAACTTGCCAATACTTTTTTCACTTTGCTAATAGGACATTATGCTCTTCTCATTCTTTATCTATTACCTCCCTGGTTGTTCCTTCTTAATTCCCTTCACTTATTTTTCTCCTTGATTTCTTAAGTTGGAGGGACTTAATACTTATCTTCCCTAACAATATTTACTCCCTTGAGTGATCTCATTCACTCTTAAAGTTTTACAACACTACTGTACAAACAAAACAATACATACTTATTTATAAGTGCCTACTTTACATCTTGTATGTCTAAAAGATATCTCAAACTCAACATGGTGAAAACTGAATTTATTTTTCCCTGAATATTTTTAACTTTCAGTCTATCCAAGTACACCTTATAATCATTCTTGATGACATTGCATCTTGATGACATTGCACCTAGTATTTTCAATCCTGCTCTCTCTCTTTTGGGATGAGCACTGGGTGTTGTATGGAAACCAATTTGACAATAAATTCATGTATTTAAATAAATAAATAAATAAATAAATAAATAAATAAACAAACAAACAAATAAATAAATCCTGCTCTACCATCAAAATATATCCAGAATCTGACAAATGCTCACTACTCTACAACTACCATTTTAGTCCTCCCAAAATCTACTCTTTCCTGGATTATTGCAATACCCTCCCAACTGGTTGTATTAGACTGTTATATTAATAATTCTGTTGCTCCATGCATTCTGGTATTCACTCCCTTGAATTCGGGCTGGGCCTCACTTACTTTAACCAACAGAATGAGGCAGAATTAGCACTGGGCCAGTTCTGTGCTCAAGCTTTACAAAGATCTGGCAGCTTGGGCATTTCTCAGAATCCCTGAACACCGCTGTAAGCAAGCTGGCTACCTTGCTAGAGGGAACATGTATACAGACTATACAAAGATAGAGGCCCTCCGAACTAATGGAGGAAAACCAAAGAATTTACTAAGAACAATTATCAAGGACCCAGACATATAATCCCAGCTGAGCCATTTCGAGTCAGTCAGCCTCAGCTCTTGGAGCCATCCTTGCTAGGCACTAGATGTATGAGTAGAAAAGCCATCTCAGACTTTACAACCCCAGCAAACATCATCTGGAGCAGGGATGAATGATACTCACTGTGCCCTATATGAATTAAATTCACAGAATCATGATAACAAAACTAAAACAGTTATGGCTTTAGCCACTGAACTTTGAGGTAATATGTTATACTGAAGTACACAACTAAAACACTGTTTTTCATCCTTGCCCTCTAGAATGTATTCTCCCTACAGAATCCCAAGTGTTACTTTGAAAAACTTAAGTCAATTGTCAACTGCTATCTCAAAACACTCAAATAATTCTCCATTTTCCTTAGAGTAAAAACCCACACTCCATATCTCTTAATCATTCCTGAAATTTTTCTCTGTTCAATTTTATCATTTCTTAGAACTTACCACCTTCTAAAATACTATACAATTTATTTAGTACATCTACTTCTTCTTTTTGATCTCCTCTCACAAGAATATATAAGCTCCAAGAAGGCTGACGTTCTTTTCCTCTTTTGTTCATGAATATACCCAAATACCTAGTCGGTACTGAATGAATGCTTATTAAATAAATAAATCACCTCCACTAAGTGGTAGCTACTTTTATGACTGCAAAAGGTGCTTCTCTACCTATACATCTATAACTTGCAGCTACTCTACACCTCTAGTTATTACTGTTATTTATTAGCAAATCTGCCTCTTATAGAGAAATATGAATTATTTCTTCTTCACAATAAATGCCAAGGCAAACAAAAATGTTTAACATGGTATTTGTAAAAGATAACATTTTCTCACTTATGTTTTAATTAAATGGCTCATTTAAAAAAAAAAAAAAACAAAAATCATCTCCCAACTGCAATTAACTACACGGTACTTAAAATAAATTGAAATATATAGTTATTAATTTAAAAATATATACTCTCACTTTATAAATAAATGGATTTAAATTCCAGAATATTTTAACTATTAGGTAATGTTTTACTTGAACTTTGGATCCCAGAGAATAAAATATGGAAGCTTACCAGGAAGTGATAAATTCCCACTTTCACTACCAGCTTCTTTAAACGACTGGTTACGCCTTTCATTTTGGGGTTCCAAAATGTCTCTGTACTTTGAGACCATAAGAACAGAGATGAAGTATACAACTGCCAAGGCTAAAAACTGAGCTTGTTTGCTATCCTCCTAGGGAAAAATAAAAGTAGTTGATCATGCCACTATTAAGTAACATGTTTCGATCTTATTTTACATGACAATATTTACATATAAAATACATCCAAAAATCTTTTGACATACACTGAAAATAATGATAAATTCACCTCAACAAAGATTAGGCAAAGAGTCTTGGAAAAATGCCTGTAAATGAGAGTTTTTAATACTTGTGAAACATGGAAACAGAGAATTTGGTTTGTTTTTAAAATGAGGTAACTCAGTCGGAAGACATATGGCATAATATACCTTGTAAGATTAATCAAAAAGCAATTATCATTACATATGTATAACTATTTTTACTTCTAATCATAAGAATTAAAATATGCAGAGGAGCCTGGGTGGCTTAGTCTGACTCTTGATTTGGGCTCAGGTAATGATCTCAGGGTCAAGGGATTAAGCCCCACATCAGGCTCCACACTGAGCATGGAGCCTCCTTAAGATTCTCTCACTCCCTATGCCCCTTTCCCTGACTTGTGCTTTCTTTCTCTCTCTCTCTCCTTCTCTCTAAACTTAGAAAAAAAAAAAGAATATGCAAAAAAAAAAAAATCAGAATTAACAATTTTCCTAAAAGGCAAACATCCAAGAGAAAAAAAGCAAGGTAATCAGATACAGAACAAGATGCCAAAGGAATTCTCAAGAGCATTTTAAATAGTACAGACAACCAAGTGTCTAAGATTGAAAATATAGTGTCTGCCAGAAAGAAAAGGACAAACTACGTTGACCTCTAGAAGAGGTCAGGGCTTCATCATAGCTCTACAGATCACCTACATGTCAGTATACTGATGACCTCTTCATCTAGTCCAATACTCCATCTTCAAAGGGACCCTGCACACATCACTATTCTGAATATTTTTCACAATAGGTTTGCACTTAAAGGAAAAACTTAAACTTGTCCATCAAATTCTGAAAACCAGAGGTACCGTGAGTAGCAGAAAACTTATAATAAGGAAAACAAAGAACACTGTTGCCTAGCAGATAAATAAATGGCAACTAACGGTGCAAATGAAACAAAGTCAATTAGCTAGTGTCAAATGTTTTTTGACATAATTTCTGGGAAGGAACGAGATATCACGTTCAACCTGAGCATTTCCATTTAATACAAATATTAATCTGTAAAGAATCTATGATACTCTTTAGACTCATATATAAGACCTTATTAGCCTTGATGGAAAAGATAAATGTACATTTTCCTGTTTTATTAACCATTCCTTTTCTCCAAACACTCCTGTGTTCTACTGCCCCACAATACTGGCACTATTATAATAATTGCTGCTAATGATGTTGGCACTAAAAATGTAGGCAAATAACTTACCTGATTCTAACTTCTTAATCTATACAAATTATTTATATGACTATCTAAATACTTATTTAGCGCATTAATATGTTCAATATTTAGTTATTATAGTATGAAGTTTATAGAATAAGCCTAATTTCTGTCCAAAGAAGAAACATCTCATAGATATTTATGTTTCAGCCTTTTATCCCCAAATAAATTTGTTTTCAACTGTAGGTATCACTTACTGAATACTTATAATGGACCGGGCACTGTACTATGTAGTTCAAACACATTCATTAACCCCTTTTAACAAGATGAGGCCTAGAAGAATAATTGACCTAAAGGCATATAGTAACTGAAAAAGCAAATGTGAACTCAGATTAGAACGTTTACAAAGTTTAGCACTTAACCTCAGGGTGGTAACTTCTTTATATTGCCAATCTAAGGTCATTTCCTTTTTCATCAAAATTGGATTATGCTAAAAGAGACTCTGGGATATAGTTTGGGAAACACAGTCTTTTTTCTAAAACTCCTATGATTATAAAACTCTTTTAATTACAAAAAAAATTTTAGTTATTAATTACTTTTAAAAATTACATGTTAAATATAAGAGATACTCTAATTCTCTGTCCAAATATCCTGACATAAAAACTTGTTACAAAGTTCCAAAGAGCCAAATCACAAAGAGCCAAGACGAGGAATTTTCATTTCAAGTACTATGGGAAGCCATTAAAGAATATTTAGAGCAAAAGAATTATATTACTTATTATAGATTTTTAAAAATCACTTTAGGAAAAACAAAGCTATGGGGCAATAGACTCAACCAAAGAAAAGGAAAGTAGCAACAATATTTGGTCCCAAAATAAACCATAGTCAGTGGGTTTGGGGGAAAAAAAAAACAGTTGATGGTTTCTTAACGAAAGGAATAATAAGAGCTATCAAAAAGCAAATATATGGAGATCTAAGGAGGCAACACACCTAATGGTTAAGATCAAAATTCCAAGAACCACATTCCCTAGGTCCTTAACCCACTTCCATCTCTTATTATTTGTGTGATCTTAACCATAATATTTAACCTAACACTTCCATCTTTCTCATAGGATTACTACATGAATTAAATGATACAGAGCATCCATTTCCATGCTTAAAACACAGTAAACATTCAGTAACTGCTAACTATAGGTAATAACTATTAACTACAACTACTATTAACAAATTGTATATGTGTACAAAACTTGGTTGAGAACTCAAAAGAGCACCAAGACCCTACAAAAAGAGGAGGGAAAATTAAAACTGATGGGCACTGAGGAGGGCACCTGTTGGGATGAGCACTGGGTGTTGTATGGAAACCAATTTGACAATAAATTTCATATTAAAAAAAAAAAGTTATAAAATTTATAAAAAGACTTGCATGTAAAATAGAACATCTAGTACTAAATGCAGTAAGTGTTTAATAATTAAGTAATGATAATACTACAAATATATACTATATTTGTATATATATATTACATATATATTGTATATTATATATTATATATATTACATATATATTGTATATATTATATATTATATATATTACATATATATGTATATATATAAATATATGTAAATATATATTACAAATGTAATACTACAAATATATATATATATAATATATAATTTTTGGACAGAGAAAGAGCATGAGCAGGGGAGGGGCACAGAAAGAGAGAGAGAGAGAGAGAGAGAGAGAGAAGAGAGAGAATCTTAAGCAGGCTCCACACCCAGCATGGAGTCCTACACAACCCTGGGATTAGGACCTGAGCAAGTCAAAAATCAAGAGTCAGACACCTAACCAACTGTACACCTAGGCACCCCCAAATAATTTTTATTTTCATCTTCATACTTTCTTTATTCTTTAGACTTTCTTATATGACTTTACAATTTATACATGAAAACTGCGCCATATGTCAAAATCAACTAAAACAAACATTTTTTAAAAATTAAAACTGCCACATTTCATTATTGTTAATTCTAGTTGTTTGAGGGAAAAACATCCAATATTCAGTAAAAATAATATGCCATTCAGAATTTGAACATTTCATTACTTTCAGAGCGTAGATTCTGGAGTTTAAGACTGCTGGGCTGGAATCCTATCATTTACTAGCTCCATTAACTTGAACAAGTTACTCAAGCTCTATGCCTCAGATTCCTCATATATAAAATGAGAATTACAAAAGTACACAACTCAAGAAGTCGTTGGACTTAGTGCATGTGAAGCACTTACAGTGCTTAATATGTAATAACATTTTATTCTTTTCAGTATCATTACTGTGATATATTAATTCCACTTATATAAATAGTACTGTCCAATATTCTAAGATTCTAAAATTATTGTCATGAGAATTGGTTCTAGTCCTTCTTATCTCTATTCAACTGTTTTATATCACAGAAAGTTTTTCCTTTCAATACTTTGGGCCTAGGTAGAAATATGTATCAGCTAAGAGTATGTGAAAGAAATACTGTAACTTACTATGTCTCTGAAGACAACTGCCCTAAGCCGATTAATATCCATGTCTTGTAGGAGCTTGTCAAAATCTCTTACTGGAGATATACCACCAGTTATAATGTCCACTGGACTCTATTTAAGACAAAAAATATATATGTATTACACAGACATTTTAAAATATTAGCACAGTATTCCAAGAACCAGGAAAAAAAAGGCTGTAACATTGTTTCTCCTAGCTTATTTTTCCTACTTCCTTCTGTCTTCTTTTTAGGGGTACTGGGATAGAGGTGGGGGTCACAGAAGGAAGCCATAAAGGAAAAATCAAACTGCATGCTAACTCACCAAGTTCATGAAATACAAATTGACATATTCAAAGGAAATTGACATATTTGACATATCAAAGACACAAGAAAAGTAAACACTTGGAAAAGCAGACAAGATTAAGTATAAGCAAATCTTTACTGTATATTTAAACACAAATATTTGAATGTTATGTCCACAGACTAAAATAACTATTTTAGAACCTTTGTCAGATTTACTTAACTTTATGTTGAAATGAACAACTAAATCTAAGATCTTAATCATAAAGTAAGAGGTACTTTTTTATTAAATTAATTACTCTATATGCTTACCTTTGCGGCAGATTTCCCCATGGGAATCAGGCTGTGTACTGTTTTCTGGCCCTTGGTTGTATCTCCTCTGGCTTTCAGCTGTGAATGCTGCTGACACTCTAAACAATTCCTAACTGCCACAGCACACACTGTAATTTAAGGAAAAGATTGGGCCAGAAAATTTTATTTAAGATTTTGGAATTGATAAAAATCACCTACATAATATGATTTACATAAGCTTTTATTTGAAACAGATTACTTTCAGCAAATTCCTACAATGTTCCTGGACTCTATCACCTAGTGTTTGTTTTGTGACTTTGTTAGCTACACTGTTAGGGCCCACTGCTAAGAGAGAATCATTTCAGGGAACTAAATCAACAGGCTAGTGTTTCTTAGAGCTTACCTAAGCTAAAGTGGAATGATCTTTTATTAAGGAAAAGATAGGGAAGAAAAGAACTGAAAAGTAGGAAAAAAGAGAAAGCAAATCACACTGCTATGAACTAGTCTATAATAACAACCTATCACCTTCATCAAAGTAAAATAGTTAAACTTAAAACTTGCATGTATTTCTTATGGTCTATCACTATAGCAACATATTTATAGAGACTGATAAAAGGTAGAACATTTATAGAAAATATTTACAGAGTCTACTTTTAACTGGTTTTCATTAAAACCGTTTAAAAGGTGGGGGGCAGAAAAGAGACTGTGATTAATAAAGTCCAAAATAGCCTCTCCAGTATTATGCTAAGTGAAATAAGTCAGAATGAGGAAGACAAATACCGTACAATTCCACTCATAAATAGAATCTAAAAAAAAATTAATAAACAAATAAAAGCATAATCAGGCCTATGAATACAAAGAACTAATGGTTATCAGAGGGTAGGGCAGTGGCAAATGGGCCAAATGAGTGAAGGGGAAAGACAGATGTAGGCCTCCAACTATGGAATGACTAAGTCATAGGAATAAACAGCAGAGCATAAGGAATACAGTCAATAATATTGTAATAGCAACGTAACTGGACCTAGCCTAATGTATAAACCTGTCAAATCACTAAGTTGTACACCTGAAACTAATGTAATATTGTGTATCAACTATACTCAAAATAATAATAATAATAAAAATAATTTTGGGGCGCCTGGGTGGCTCAGTCGGTTAAGCATCCAACTTTGGCTCAGGTCACGATCTTGCAGTTTGTGAGTTCGAGTTCCGCATCAGGCTCTGTGCTGACAGCTCAGAGTCTGGAGCCTGGAGCCTGCTTCAGATTCTGTGTCTCCCTCTCTCTCTGCCCCTCTCCTGCTCATGCTCTTTCTCTCTCTGTTTCTCAAAAATAAATAAACGGTAAAAAATAAATAAATAAAATAATAATAATAATAATAATAATAATAATAATAATAATTTCATCCAGTAGAAACCAACACATTTATAAGCCTAAGGATCTCCAAATCTTTGTTGAAGATTTGATGTTCCAGTATATTACTACCAGATATTAACCTTTTTTTGTTTTTGTTTTTAACTGAACAGTTTCACCAATATTATACTCTTAAAATGGTGACCTTCTCTGAGCATAAATCCTATAGTACTCATGTTATATATAACTTATGATTATGAAATTTTAAAGAGCCTGCAATAACACTGTTTGCTAACCTGTGAGTTATGTAAATTCTAGAATTTGGTTGGAACATTTTCAACAACTTAAAATAAGTAGTAAATTAAATGAATCACCTGTTCGAAAAACTACCTCTCTAAATGTGTCCCCCATCAGTTACTCGGGTTATTTAGAAATTAATTTTGAAGTTTAAATGATGAATTAGGTAATGCAAACATGACTATGAAATGCTTAGTATCATGTGAATCATCTCAGTTCTTAATCAGATCAGTAGCACTCAGGCTATACGAACTGAACAAGAGTAGGAGAACAAATTAAGAACAAAATGGCAAACTTCTCTGGGGACTCTAACTACTACCAGACTATCCTATGGCTAGCATAGAACTGAAACAGGAAAGTATTCAGATAAGTGCAAGACAGCAACAAAAGTTGGGGAAAAGGAAACAAGGAATATAGTGAGGGAGGGAGGGCAAGAGAGTATGGAAAATGACTCTCAAATTTGAAATCAGGCCCAGAAAAATAACTTTTGCACTTTTTTGTCCCAGGTTGCATAAAATCAAGTTTGGGTATCGCAAAGTTAAAAACCTATCACACTCAGCAGTTGCAGTAGTAGAAGCTACTCTTAACTGTTGCCATCCTGCCTTCTCACCTCCAACCTCAGGAAAGAACAGGAATGAGGAGACCAGGGATCAAACACTTGGATTGTTTACCAAGCTTACCATACTCTATTAAAGACTTTGAACAAATAGTTTTCAGAATCTCACTTCCATATATAAAAAGACATGATGCTGGGGTAGATCAAATTATGAAAATGAGTATTTCCCTAATTTCGGAATACTTGAGTGTAGTGACACATTGATAGCATAGCCTTGTATTTTTAATTCCAGAAGTATACTCTTTATAGGAAAGTGGCAACGTTTAAAAAAATGGCATACACAAAAGCAATGGAGTCAAAATAGTTTAATTATATTACTAATAGAAAGTTCAAGGAAGTATGTTACAACAGAATATGTAGGAAAACAAGTTAAACTATATTCAAATTCTAACTTCACCAACTACAGCTTTTGGATTTTTAATACATTTCCTAATTTCTCTGATCTCAAATATCCTCATGAATAAAAGAAAATAATTGCTGACTCATTGGAAATCTGCAATAACAAGTGTAGTCAATAAATGACAGTTTTTGTTTTCTTATACTTACCATTTGAATCTCTTAATTAAAATTTTAAAACAAATTTCTAAAAACTGTCACATCAAGTTCTTTAAAGCATCCCAAGTTGAAAAGTAGTTTGAATAGCATTTTGAGTAATCAAAACATAATCAGTGCACCAAAAAAGTCTAAATATATCTCAGCTTATATAACAGATACTCCCGCTAAAAATGGGAAAATATTTCATTAACAATGAGATTTTCCACCTTTAGTGTTACATTTCCACAGATGCCTTATTTCTGATCTCTCTTCATGTGGCAATGGTTCCTAGTGGTTTTGCTTCCATTTCTTCAACCACCTCTTCCTACCTGCTTCTCTCCATTTAACAAGCAAATCATTAACAAAACCTCAGTATTTACAACTAGATGCAGGAAACCTTCTGCCCAGAGAAAATATTTTGCTTCACCTAAGGAAGCCCTGATGACATTAAAAATTCTTTATGTATTTTAACTTTTACCTAAGCAAGAAATGCCTCCAGGAGAATAGAGATCTAGATTTCAGGAACTGTTCCAACAAATTACCATGGCTCATGTGGATAAAGGCTGTACTTGAATGATGCTAGTTTTAGAATCTTGCTACTCAAGTATAGTTTGTAAGATAGCAGTTTCAACATCACCTGGGATGTTAGGCAATTATAGACCTCACCCCATACTAACTGCATTTTAACAAGATGCTATGGTGATTTCTTGTGTATGAATCATCTTAAAATCTGAGAAGCACCATTTTTGAGCAAAAAAAGATCAGAGGAGGAGGGGTAATGGTGACCACAATCAACTGAGATTTTTTAAAACATGTCATTCCTCTAGCCAATTTTATAACTACTACTATAAGCATAGTACTTAGATAGTCTTCACTCTTTGGAGATTAAAAAAAAGCATATGACAAATTGCCTAGTACTCATTTTCCCAACAACAGATAAAAGATAATTTCAATCTAATATGTCGAGATAACTGAAAATTTTTAAAGTAAATTCCTGATAGGTTTTAACAGCTCACCTAGTCGGAGACACTGTCGCAAAATTCCTCCAGAAGACATATTTTTTTCAGCTTCAATTTCAGTAAAGCCAAGAGAACTTGCAAATATAAGCACATCCACAAGGCTGATTAGCCTCTGCAAAAATGTCACAGAGGCTTCTATTGAAAGGCCTTGAGTAGGTTCTATATTCTCCAGCTCATGCTGTAAGGAACAGAATTTGAAATTTATATCTATATTTTGATAAAAATCTAATTTTCTTGGATACATTCCCCAAATTTCTAAGTTTTATAAAAAGCCAGCTTTCAGAAATCTAGTTCAACAGAATGTTTTCCTTTTTCATCTAAAAAGAAGGCAACAGAAAAGTACAGGTGAACCACCACCAATCATATTCTCTAGCTGACTCATACCTAAGAAATCAACGTAGTTTTTAGTTCTTCCATTCTTGGAACAGATTCTAAGGTCCTTTCAGGTAACTGTAAAAGATACTGTTACTTTTGGCTTAATGCACTTATGATGCATAGTAACCACCACATTCAAGTGTTAACAAAGATGCGTAACAGTAGCATTTTCACACCAATTTTATAGAGTAGTTAAATCCTTACTGTAGCCGATGTAGCAGCTGAAAGCAATGGCAGTATACCCCCACAAGCCATGACCATATTGTCCATCACTTGAGAGATGAGATGAATTGTGTTGTGTACAAAGATGACATTATCACTGCTATTCACGAAGTCCATAACTGTCTTTGTTGAATGGCTGTCCAAAGATAAATGATGTTTACTGATAAAGCTAAAGAAAGGAAATCACAGTTTGCCTACTTGAGGGGAGGGAGGATAAGACAGTGCATTTGCTTCGTCTTTAAAGCTGAGGTAATGATAATGATACAGCAGACATGTTGGGGATGTACTTCTTCACAAGATGTAGACCATTTCATATCAGGAGTTACTATCCATGCCCCTTTTCAGTGCTGAAACATATAATACTATTCATCTTTTATATAAAAAGATGAATTATCCTCAAGTGGGAACAAAATTGAGAAGTCACATAGCAAAAACTAAGAGGCAAATGGTGTTAAATGTGCAAATAAAAATAAATTTTCTACTAACATTTTCTTAGATAAAGCCATAACATGCTTTTAAACAGGATAAGTGTAGTATACAAGTAACAATAAACCAATTAGGCATTTCAAAAACATAAATCATACAATAGATAATCTGAAATATACAGATTTCTTATACCAAAACTACATTGGAAAATTGGGTGTTATAGAGTCCAATTTTTTTTATTTTTAGTACTTATAGATAAACCAACTTAGCTTTTATGCTACAGGAAATCGTCAGCACATTTTTTAAAAGAAAAATCTCTGATTTTCCGTTTTTTGTAATTCAGACTGGGTAGCTCATTTCTACAATGGCCAATAAAAGTTAATTCAATAAAACCCTATCACAGAAATAATTTATATTCTACTTTTTAACTAAATGTCTGAAATAAATTGCAAAATGTTAACTATATAAATTTCTTTAAACAAACACTAAACTTCATACACATCTTCTATAACAAACATATGGACATACCTTCTCCACATCTGTATATCTGTTTCTATTGAAAATAATAGATCAGTGAGCAAACGTTGATGCATTTGAGACCATTTGAACTCAGGAATACGAAACGTAGCAGATCTGGAATCCCTCCTTTGTCCATTACCTCCATCTGGTGCTATTCCTTGACCTGGCCCCTCCTGTTGCCTTGACATCTAATACAGTAAATTTAGAAGAGTAATAAAATGAACTTCAAAGAAGGTATTAATAATAATAGCTCCTATGCAATTCATCTAACAAATAATCACATTTGAAGATACTAAGGAACCAAATTTACAGAAAAATAATCAATAAGTAATAACATTAAAACTTTTCGGGGCGCCCGGGTGGCGCAGTCGGTTAAGCGTCCGACTTCAGCCAGGTCACGATCTCGCGGTCCGTGAGTTCGAGCCCCGTGTCAGGCTCTGGGCTGATGGCTCGGAGCCTGGAGCCTGTTTCCGATTCTGTGTCTCCCTCTCTCTCTGCCCTTCCCCCGTTCATGCTCTGTCTCTCTCTGTCCCAAAAATAAATAAAAAACGTTGAAAAAAAAATTAAAAAACAAAAAAAACAAAAAAAAACTTTAGTACATTTAGGGACGCCTGGGTGGCTCAGTCGGTTACCGGCCGACTTCAGCTCAGGTCATGATCTCTCAGTCCATGAGTTCGAGCCCCGTGTCGGGCTCTGTGCTGACTGCTCAGAGCCTGGAGCCTGTTTCAGATTCTGTGTCTCCCTCTCTCTGACCCTCCCCTGTTCATGCTCTGTCTCTCCCTGTCTCAAAATAAATAAAACGTTTAAAAAGAAAACTTTAATACATTTAAAGCCAAGTTACCAAAAATGCTAACTACCGTAATTCAACAGTCATTAGCTTGGAACCATTTGGTATTACAACCAGCTAATGTATCATTTCTACAAAGGAATCAAGAAGTTCTTAGATTTGAATATGAGGAGGAAAGAAAGGCAGTATCTGGATTATAAATTGGTTAAAATTAAAAACAAACATAAAGATAACAAAATTAAGAACACCCAACAAAATAGGAAAGAGGGAGTTAAGAGCTGAACAGCATGAAAAATTATAACATGGAATCAACCACTGTCTCATGAATTATTCTGAGATACTAGTAAAGGAGAAAGCTGTGCCTCTTGATCTCAGAAAGGTTCCTCCACTCTTACAAAATAAACAAACCTCGTGGAACAATTTTAAACTACATGCTTCATATATAAAATTATACACTAGTAGGTGGTTCTGCAGGACAACAGCCCTAGATTTTTGTCAGAAAATTAATGTGCTAATAACTACAATTATGTTATCAAATAAAGGTAAAGACAAGTATTTCCAATATTTGCTTTCTAAACTAAAATTATTACAATCCTAAAACTTGAAAGTAGAAAGTAGTAACTTCTGGTGATCTTGTGGTAAAAATAATAATAAAAGCTGCCATTTAATCAATTCACACTAAAACCTTGTGCTAAAGAAAACAAATATAATCTTTACATTCATTGCATTTATATAATTGCAAATAGGATATGAATCAACTCCAAAAAAAAATAAAATGTAAATATATACACTTGCTCTATCTTATTTCAATGCAAATACACTTCAAGAATACAGTAAATATAATCACCTCAAGCACAGGTTGATGGGGGTGAGATGCTTCCATGTTTGTATTGGCCTTCAACTCCAATCTCTCAGTATCTGTAGCAACACTGGAAACGTCCAATTTAGCAATCCTCTGCTCACAAGTAGTAGGAGACTCAAAGATATTACCAGGAGAATCACTAAGTAATTTGGTTTCTCTATCAGAGTTACTTGTTTTCTTCCCTTCCTCTAGCATTGCACCAATATCTGATTGTACAGGTGTCTGGGAAACAGTAGCGTCTGGTGAGGTAGCCGGAGACCCTGATGCTGTCCTAGTCAAGATTCCAGAGTCTTTGGAATCTTGAGTTTCGCTGTCCGTTTGCTTCTTATTTACAGATTCTTCCTCTTGAAATATTAATTTGTTGTCATTACTAAACATGTCCAGTCTTTCACTGGCTTCAGAGGCAGCTGGAGACAAACTATCTTCTTGGAGTTCTGTGCGTAGACTGGCTTCCTCAGTAGGACTACTTTCTACTTTCAGTTCTACATAATCATCATCATCTTCCTCTACTATAGATTTCTCCAATAATTCTGGCACCTCTGAAGCATCCTCTTCTGAAGGAGAACTTACAGAAGCAGTTACTTCACTAACAGTTATTATACCTTTGCCAGCTCTTTTAAAAGAATTAGAGGAAACAGTCTCACCTATTGTATCAGAAGATCCTTCTAAACCATCTATATGAATGGTTTCATTTATCAGTGTTTCCTCTAAAGGGACTTCATCCAGTAACTCCTGATTTTCTTGACCAGTTTTCCTTTCTTCATTAGACATGTTAGGAGTTTGCAGTCCAACGCTGGATGTAGAGTTTACTGAAATTGTCTTCTCAATACTTGACTTTTCATCACTATTTCTGGGGATATGAGTAGACACAGGACAATCCTTCATATCTGATTGCTGGGATGCTACTGAAACATTAACATCCCTGCTAATGACAGAGACTGCTTCAACTGGACTTGAACATTGCCCAATTTCTTCATCAACCTTTCCCTGGTGTTCCCTGAATATATTGGCAAGATTTTCTTTGTGTATTTCAAAAGTGACCTAGATGAAAAACATCCAGTCAAAATATGCAAAAAAGAAAGAAAAACAGAACATACAGTACATAAAATTAAAAATTTAACTATTTTTCAAATAAATGGTTTTATATAATGCAATAATTTTCCTAGAATATCCTTATCTTATAAAATAAACAAAAAGTCAACCACAAAAATTTAAATAGTCAAAAAAAATGAGAGCTATACTTAATGATGATAGGTAGCATGGCTTTAAACCACAATAACATCCTTACTTAGCCTATTCTTAAACATATATATGAAAAGAATATACTATTCCACTGACCTCTATAAACTGTACCAGGATCTAAGTATATAGCGTTGTGAAGGGCTTTGTACACTAGATAATACATTGTTTTAACTGCAGTGAAAATCCATTTCCACGTGACTTATCCTCAACATAGATTAAAAATATCAATTAATTATGCCCACTATTATAGCAGCTCTCCATATATTTATTTAGTAAAACTTTTTCTTACTAAACTAATACAAATTCAGCAATGAGAAAAAAATCCAATCCTTCCCCAAAGCTCAACCATAATTTTCAAAGTCTAAACTAGTCTAAATAGCCTGCAAGTTCCAGGTTATCCATCCATCCATCGATCCACCCAACGCCACTTGCATGTGACTGACTAGTATGTATCAGGCACTATGAACATCAACTCTTATCATGCCTGGCCCTGCACACTTTTACCTCAATAATTTTCTTACCAAAGATTATTATAGCCACCATTATCTGGTTGCCACTGGTGTTAGAACAGGAAACACCCCTCAGAAAGAAGTATAATACAAGCAGAAAGTACAGACATAATTATAGTTTACCAATGTTAGAACTGTTTGTTCCTGTAACCTACATTATTATAATATATACAGCAAACTGAACCTTTAGTCAACAAACATTTATGGAGCCCTAGTATGGGAGGATGGTAGTAGATGACAGGAAAAGATGATTTTTGTGCACAAAGACCCATAGGCATTTTTGAATCATAGGTATGTATACATATGGGTAAAAGGCAAACAAATGTTTAAATAATGCACAATGCACACATTTTTTCAATAGCTATTTACTAACCTTCACTCATAATATATACAGTATGCTCATGCCTTAATAGGATACAGCTAAAAATAAAAATGTTTGGAAAATAAACATTTTACAAATTATAAATACTGGGGGAATTTTTCTGAATATTTCAAAATGTAATGCATATATTCTAAAGAATAAAATGGCACAGTAACATTAACAAAATATCAATTTATTTTATAACCATTTTTTTTAATGTTTTGTTTTGTTTTGTTTTAAATAGGTCCACACCCAACGTGGGACTTGACTCACAACCCTGAGATTAAGAGTCACATGCTCTACCAACTGAGTAAGCCATGTGCCCTGAACTAACTTATTTTAATTGACCAACTTCTCATTATCTAGTCAGCAAAATTTACTGAACACCCAAAGCATGCCAGGCACTGTGTGATGAACACAATGTCCTTGCCTTCATGAGGCTTACAGTCTAATGAAGGAGATTGAAAATAAATATACAAAAATATAAGATAATGTCAGTTAATAGTGAGAGATTTGAAGGCGAAAAAAAAAAAGAAAAGAAAAGTCTAGGTGGGATGATGTAGTAGAGTAACTGGGGAAGGCCTCTAAGGATATTATATTGAACAGAGATCAGAATAAAGTGAGACAGAAAGTTATATGAATATGAAAAGGAAAACAATTTCAGGCAGAAGGAAAAACAAATGCAAAGCCCCTAGTAGCCAAAATAATCGTGGTATGTTGGAGGAACAATAAACAGTAGAAAGAGAACTATAGATAAGGTCACAGAGGAAGGCATTGGCTAGATCATAGTTACAGAGAACTACAGACTGTATTAATGATTTTGAATTTTATTCAGAGAGAGAGACACTAGAAAATTTTGAGTAAGAGTAAGACAAGATAGGTTTGTTGTTGTTGTTGTTGTTGTTGTTCTTGTTTTTAATGATCCGATTTCTTAAGGTATCATTTAGTCTATTTGGAAAACTGACTTTAGGGAAATCATTTCTGCACTGATATGACAATTATTATTGTCTAGAGAAGGCAAGTTTCATACCACCAACCTCAGAGTGATTTTGAAAATAGATCCTTTATTTCAAACACAGTAAGTTTAGTTTTCAATAATTATTTGCTTTCATTTTACTCAATTTAAGGATTTTAAATTTTTTATTATAAAATATATCCATAAACATAAATACATACAATTTATACATACAGATCAAAGAGTAATTTTTTAAACCCAATACACCTACTATCCACATCAGGAAACGGAATACTACTACCTCACAATTCCTCTGTGTGCCCATCCTCAACTGTACTCCCAACCTCCCTATCCCTATTAAGAGCAAATCAACATTCTTACATTTCTGTTGTTCCCTACCTGTTTGTTAACAGCTCTACTACCTATATAGTAAAAATAGTTATCAAGTTTAGTTTGAGAAGCTAAATATAGCATAATCTTAGCCAGCCATCAAATAAAAGGGCAATATTGCTAAATAAATAAATAAATAAATAAATAAATAAATAAATAAAGGCTATCAGAAGACAAGCTACAGTTCCTGAAGTTTCTCTTCAGTTTCTATAAGAGGATATATAAGGCTATTTCTGGGAAGTCTGTTGGCAAGGCCATTAGGAAATATACAAGGCGTTAAGAACTAGAGCATCTATAAGGGGTAGTGTGGGCCAGGTAGTAGGTATCTGGCATGAATAACGTACAAGAAGTATACTACTTTGTATCTTCCAATTCTCACCATGGTCTACCTCTACTCTCAGAAGTAAATCAAAGCAGACCACTTTTTTGAGGAGAGAAGCATGAATGTACAAATGATCCAGGCAGGAGGAATACGGGCCTATCACATGTAGGTAATTTGTTCTCAGGTTAAAAAAAAAAAAAAAAAAGTTATCACGGCAGATGGCATTTCACTGACAATAGCTTCCCTCTATATCTGTCTCCTAAGTCAAACCATTCCAGTTTAGAAGGACTGTCGTATGTCTACTACATAGCTATCATTGCAGGATCTCCCTGAACCATGGTCCTAGAGATCCCTTCTCATCTCTCTTCCATGTTGCCTCTCCTTTTCCCTATGTCCCATATATTTGTTTAAAGCTCTCCTTTTGGTGTGTATATCCTCTGGCGCCTTCTCAAAAAATAAGTACATGTAAACTAAGTTTTTGAGACTTTAAAACATTTATTTTACCTCCATACTTGATTAATAGAGTATAAAACCATAGGTTGGATAGCATTAATCCCCAGAATTTGAAAGGTATTTCTTCACTTATTTCTGTGCTTCTGTTGCGAAGTCTCAGCCTACTCTGATTCTTTATCCTTTATATAAACTATTTTGTTCCCTGTGAAATCATATAAAATATCCTTGCTCTTAGTGCTTTCAAATTTCACAATGATTTTCAGCACAGATCTATTTTCATCCATTGTGCTAAACACCCATTGGGTCCTTCCAATCAAGCAACAAATATCCTTGGCTCTGGGAAATTTTCTTGAATCTATTAATTTATACCTTTGTCTCCTTTTTCACCTATTCTTGCTTTCTAGGATTACTATTTTTTGACACTGCACTGAATACTCCTCTAATTTTCTTACCATATCTCTATTTTCAATCCCTTTGTCTTTTGGTTCTACTGTCTAGGAGAGTTCCTCCACTAACCCTTAAACATGTTTTACATTTCTCCTATATGAGTCTGGGCTAGTCACTTGACTTCTTACTGCTCATATTAAAATGGGTGGTACGCGTCAGGCTCTGGGCTGATGGCTCAGAGCCTGGAGCCTGTTTCCGATTCTGTGTCTCCCTCTCTCTCTGCCCCTCCCCCGTTCATGCTCGGTCTCTCTCTATCCCAAAAATAAATAAACGTTGAAAAAAAAAATTTTATAAAAAAATAAATAAATAAATAAATAAATAAAATAAATGTTCCCTGGTGTTAAAAAAGAAAATTCCCTCTCCTCTCTTGAGCACTTCCTGTAGAAAACCTGAAGTTCAAAATACAGTAACCCTTGAACAACACAAGGGATGGGGTGCCAAATCCCCCCGAACCTCACATGCAGTCAAAACTCAAGCAAAACTTGGGGCGCCTGGGTGGCTCAGTCGGGTAAGCATCTAACTTCGGCTCAGGTCATGATTTTGCAGATAGTGAGTTTGAGCCCTGTGTCAAGCTCTGTGCTGACAGTTCAGAGCCTGAAGCCTACTTTGGATTCTGTGCCTCCCTCTCTCTCTGCCCCTCCCCTGGCTGTGCTCTCTCTCTCAAAAATAAACACTTAAAAAAAACTTTTTTTAATCAAGTAAAACTTGAATCCACAAAAACTTACTGACAGCCTACTGCTGACTAGAAGACTTACTGATAACATAAACAGTCTATTAGCATACATTCTGTATGTTGTATGTATTATATGTATCCCTATAATAAAATAAGCTGGAGAAAAGAAAATTTTAAGAATTGGGGTTCCTGGGTGGTTCACTCGGTTCAGGGTCCAACTTCGGCTCAGGTCATGATCTCACAGTTCCTGCAGCTCAGAGCCTGGAGCCTGCTTTGGATTCTGTGTCTCCCTCTCTGCCACTCCCCCACTCATGCTCTGTGTTTTCGTTTCTCTCCCTCTCTCTCTCTCTCTCTCCCTCTCTCTCCCTCTCAAAAATAAACATTAAAAATGTTTTTAATGTTAAGAATGTCTAAGGAAAAGACATTTCAAGTATATATTTATCCAAAAAATCCACATATGAGTATACCTGCTCAGTTCAAACCTATGTTGACCCAGGGTCAACTGTACTTTCTCTGGCATTTTGAGATGTATATAAATCTTGTGAAAAGGTAATAAGTCTTTGTGCTATTTCTGCATCCCGGGGATATCTTTCCTGGGGGTGTTCAAGTCATCTCTTTGAAACATGAACATCAAGAATGATGATGCCCTGCTTCCTGTCTCTATGGGAGTTTAAACCTAAGTATTTAGT